GGGTCCCATGCTGAACCCCATACCAAATTAATTGCTGGTATCATTTAAATCTGTCCAGGTCCCACCTGGAGTTAGGATTCCTGCGCGGAGGTTTTCCTTGGGCATAACCAGGTTCATGTAATCTTGTGGATATTCATGTTTCCCTTCTTTAGCTGTTTCCAACTACTTGATTTTTCTCATGACTGTAGAGGATCTCTAAAAATGCCTGGATATTACACACCCCTTCCCCCCCCCACCCCCCCGCGGGGTTATATATTACCATGATTGTTTTGAGTTACTCAAACGCTTTCTGCAGATTAGCCCCACAGGCAGTTTCCAGTGTAACAGATCCAGTGCTTTAAAAGAGACAAGTACATAAACAAGTTGTCTCTCCACCCTATCTGCTTGTCTTAAAGGGGCTTGAACTGCGGGACACTGCCCCATCATTCTCCCAGCCACCGATCTGAAACCCGCATCTTCAGATCCCCCACACCCTCTCCCCTTTCACTCCCTTCCCCGTATTACCAGAGGAGAGGGGGAGGTGAGGGTACCAGCAATTGCACATCTACATTCTCATCCCCTTTCACCGACTTAAAACAATCTTCCTTACTAGTTCTCAATCCTGCATGCTGCACATTTAACAACTTACATTTCCTTCTAGGACCATAATAACTTCTTAAAAATCTTAAAAGCATCTACATATGGTACATCATCTCGTTTTCCTTCATGTTTACAAAACAACATTAACTGCAAAATAATATTGTTATAAATAATAGTTCCCAGCTGTTGCCATTTTCTCCATCTTTCAGGGTTTAAAGTGGCTACCAACCATTACAATACATAATTTTTCCCAGGTAAGGGGTTACTCCTCCCAAACTTATTCCAGTTTCCCAGAATACATCCTAATGGTGAACATTTGGTAATGTCACCTCCTGCTGAGGATACATCACCCATTTTGATAATACAAATAAAGGAGCAAGACAATACCAAACACAAGTGAAACAGACCATAACAAATTAAACAAGGAGACTTGACTTTTAACAATTATCAGACACAAGTACAACATTGAGACTTTTTCAGAGTACCACCTTCAGCCTGTCTCATGCCCATTTTAATCAGATCCCAATTAATACACAGAAACAAAAATCATAATCCACTAAACAAATCACAGATCCCAAGGAACTGAGTTAACCGATCAGGTGATATTTTTTTTTTCCTTTCTTTTCCTCTTTCTGAATTATTATTTTTTTTCTTGAGTTTTAGAACTCAGTTACCACAACCAAACAGGGAACTCTAACCCTGAACCAAAGAGGGGAATCAAACACCTTGGGTACACTTACAGCCCAACTTTGTGAGGCTTTCACTTGTCTTATAGGCAGGCAACCAAAATCCCAAAGGAATGCTTTTAATCTTACCAAGGACTTGCTCCGAGCTCTTCAGTACAGGGTGAGGAGTTTCTCCCCGAGAATTCCTGAGTGCTGGCTGAAGGTTCTGCGATCCCATGGATCTGTCAAGGTTCAGGAGTGATGTCCCAAAATGATAATGTAAAATCCGGCCACAGAAAAGAACCCTCTAACACCTGACTTGAAGTTTCTGAAGGCAGGCATTCTTCATTACAGCGCTGGAGGCACGGGAGTCACTCTGCCTAATACTCATATCACAAGTGGCAACAGGCAAGCCTTATTTTGTCCTGCTACATACATATGTGTCAGATTTCCTGGAACTAATTAGAACATTTGCATTCTCATTACACACAGGCTTTAAGCCTTTTAAGGTCTTTCGTGGTCCTTAGGGGATCGCTCCGAAGTTTCCTTTGGTTAAACGCTTCCCCAAGGCATGTGCAATATCGGGTGACCCACAGTTATCTTCTTCCTAGTTTCAGCTAATTCTTAACGCCAAGGCCCCCAGTTCCTTTACATACCAAAGGCCTTGTGACTGCTCAGGTAAGCACAAATCAACATGACCACGAAAAGGATGATGAAATACTGCCTCTTGTTTAAAGTGTCAGCCTATTGGTCAAAGTATCACCTTCAGTAAAGATTTCAAGTAAAGGGTTTTTTTTTTGCTGTACTCCATTTAAATAAGTCCTAACCTTGACTTTAAGGGAAAAGTTAAACTAAAAGTACCTTCTCAAATTTAACCTGTAGATGGTCGTTTTCTGCTCTTAAAAAAAACCAACTCTGAATGTGACAATTATTTGAAAATTGAGTTCTGAAGTCCTAGTAAGGATACATGCTATAAACAATAAACAGAACACCAGCAAAGTACCTGTGACATCCTGTAGTGCAATGCTACAAGTATGACCTCAGAATTCTCACACAGCACAGCACAAGCAGACATCTATACAATGTCAAAGAGCCAAGACATAACCTCTCTGCCCCCTCTACAACTGATTGCAAACAGGCAGCAGCTTTCAAAACACAGTTCTGCTTCCTCACAAGACTGAGAATCTGAAGAACCATTATAAAACTGGAATCCTTTTTTCCAAGTGGAAATAAAATGCATTTAGAAGGGATGAGTATGCTTTTGAAAGCATGCCTGGGAGAAAAAGAAGGTGTATCACAGAATAAAAAGTCATACCAGTTAATGATTGCAAAACCACAGTTACTCAGCATCAGCTGACTGTCAGTGCCTTCCAAATACTCAGGTGGTGAGACTGCAAAGAGCAGATACTGTACTGTTCCCTGAATTTTGCAGCAGCAACTTGGGATGACTGCTGCTCATCAGCAACCATCAACTGCTGATATTAGCTGCTCCTTGGCAACTACAATTAGTAGTAACCTATCAGCACACAACAAAATTAGCTCCTGCAAAAAAGTTACCATTCACCAGCTAAGGAGCACAGAGTAACGGTTGCAGATTCTTAAGAACCCCATCAACAACGCAGGAGCAGCAACTGCACCAACAGGTCATCAGTAAATCATACAGCACCACTTCCACTCTGCAACAGAATAGGTATTTACACAGAGGTCACAAGGCTGAAACATGTAACATTTTATTGCATAGAGCTGAAGGAGTAACAGGTACCAGCCTTAGTAAAAAACTGATTTACCACAACACTCCTTGCATCCAGAATTTTGAAGTTATCAAGCATATTTTGAATGTATGAATTAACAAAGACTGCCATTTGATGACTTGCTTAACCTGACAGAAATTCAGGTTGTGACAAAAAAAAAAAAAGCAAACTGTCACGTCTGTTCCTCAGGCTGACAGTAGCACCTGTGTGGCCAGCCTGCTTACAGAGCTGATCAGCCTGAAGGGTTTCTGACAACTGGTTAGTTTTCACTGGGATCAGTCCCCACTCCCTCTTTTTCAAGTCAGCACAGCATTAAAGCTGATACAAGAAGAAAGCAAGGACAGGTACCTGAGGCAAGGAAGGGGGATGGGCTGCACATCAGCATCAAATAGTATTGAAAATTGTACCCTTAGTCATGTTCATATTGAACACACTGACTGAAATAACAGATGCGCTCCCAGTTACAAAGTCCAGTTCTGCGAATTGCAAAAAATGTAATTGAATTACAAACTATCATGTTGAACAGGTAACTCATTTATGTCTTTAGGCAGGCTTTTGTCTTTGCCAGAAGAGGAAATTTTCAACATACACAAGAAAACTAGTCCTTCCGAATTTTAAATTCTGGTTGATTTTATTTATTATACACCAATAGCTGAAGAAGCCACAACTCAACTGTTTATTAGGAAAGAACATTCCAACACCATATTTGAACTTTTGCTTAGAAAATAAATTATTTTAGAAATTTTAAAGATTATTTGATAATTCAGAGTTTTTGTAAAAATCAGTTATATGCATACATGAATCTTCTTGCTTCTCCTCACACACCCGTCATTTTATAATTTTTTGTCTTTGACAAACACATCAAAACCAAGAGGTGTTCCTATGTCATGGGAATGTTTCTATTTTCACATGTATTGGTGAAGCAGTAAAATTAAAACAAAACTAGCTAACAATCCAAGGAAGATGTGGAAAAAGGATTTTTCACCTAATTTCACCTCTAATCTCTTAAAATCTAAAAAAAAAGTAAAAAAAAAAAATCAAGTTCTGTAATGGCAGTAATTCCAGTTATTAAGCAGTAACTGGATTTATTTAATAACACCTTGTAAATGCCCAGTGTAAAACTGACTTCTAGTCAATGTAATAAAAGTAGCTCAGAGTAGATAATTTTTTTTTGAGAAAACATACAAAAATCACAAATATTATATTAATAACTCTGTTTTAAGTATATACAAAATAATTATCAAAGCATTTGGTTCATATAGTGCTGCTGTAAGTAATGAAATCAACTACTTGATCCCAGAGTCAGTGCTAGAAATGGATGCCTGGGCAACCATCTCAAATTTGTCTGCTTGCTACACAGACAGAACCACAGCTTATATTCATTGCAAAGTGGGTACTATAAAGTAAAAGGAAAGGAAGCTATTAACCCAAAGAAAATAAAGACTTCAACGATGATAAGTTCCCTGCATTGTCCCATTAAACTACTTTTACTTGCTCAGTGAAGGAACCACATTTAGAACATAAATGGCAGCAGTCTCTATTCACATTATATTGTCTTTTGGCTCCAAAAACTCCTAAAGGAACACATGGTTTTCTTGGGACTTAGATGTCCATTTAGACACTCACCAATCCCAATTTCAAAAAGCCAGAAGCAGTAACTTCCTGTTCAAACTGGTAATCTGAAGAGAAGCAACCTGCAGTTTGTGAACCTCAAGTCATCTACTTCATTATTACGAACTCTTATTTAAATGTAACCATGTTTTGTACCCAAGAAAAAACAAGCCAACTCCCTCCCTAGCTACAGTACAAAATCGAAGATAACGCTCTGAAATATTGGGTAGCTCTTGGAAAGATGCCCAAAAGCAAAACTCGTATTAATACTTTAGACTCTGCATATCAGTTTGTCATCCAGCAAATCTGACTCAAAAAAGAGACATGACATGGCTGCAACCATTTCAATATTCAACTATGCACTACAAGTGCTGCATGTTGCCCCCTTACCCTGTCAATCAGTTGTGATTGTCAGTTCTTTCCCATCATACAATTCTTGCAGTTGATTTGAGTCGTATTTTATGGAAGGTCTTTCAATTTGCATCCCAGGCTGCAGAGCATTCTGTCCAACTATTTTAAGATTCACAACTTTTATTTTCCAGGTACTTCCCCTAACAGGACAGCTAATGAGTCCAAAAATTTGTTCAAAGATGCCCAAACAACAGTTTTCTCTATGTACTGTACCAGCCACTGCTATCAGTACTAACCCATGTCGAGACATAACGCACTTCAGTCCGTTGGCACGCAAATTAGGATTGAATAGAAGACACTCTTCTTTAACCAAAGACAGGAGACGAAGGCTCACCATTTCTGCACCAATATATTCTTCCATATTTTTTTCTAATGTGTTGTAACAGAATTTCATTTTGGCATCCTCCCAAAAATGCTGTGGTCCCCATCCTCCTTCAGATTTTACTCCCAAAGGATGTTGAGAATTCAGGAGTTCAAAGAACCACCGACAGAATTCTTCTCCTAGAAGATGAATGTCATTTTGTGGTGACTTCTTTCTCTCTCCATGACTCTGCAATCAAGCACATGTTTTTCTTTAAACTATTTAGCCTTACCATACAATGTTACCACTTAGAACAACACAAAATAATGTAAATACACATTTAAAACATTCAAAGTCTTCTTCAAATGTTTTGAGACAGAATGCCTGGATAAAAATAACATAATAGAATCTTATTTCTTTTTTAATCAGTATTATCTTATCTAGAGAATCAGTGTAGGTTCTTAAAAGTACATTAAGAATAATCCTTCAGTTTTGTCTTGGTCTACAATTTATAAACAAAGTGGAAAATTCTGGTTCTACTGAAAAAGGGCAGGGGAAGGATTTTTTAATAACTTCTATCAAACCAGGATTCTCACACCAAGAGACAAAATTTCTGCTGAGTAAAAAGTACCCAGGTTAGTAATTTTTCACTGGCCTTGACATGTCCAAAAGAATGTTACAGAAAAACAAGGATGCATCTCACATTAAGGCATATCAATTTACTAAAAAGTGCTTATAAATAAGTAATTATGTTGACATGGTTTTCCTGTCTTGTGTTGCTTTCAGTTGGTGAATTGTCTTTGTTTCTGCATCTTTATATAGCTGATGAGAACAAAGAGGATTTATCAGGAAGTCACCTTTCAAATATGCACATTCTAACACTTGAAGCTTGCAGAATACTGCAGATTTGTGGTGGCATTTTACCTCTGTCAGTGGAATACGGTAACAAAGTGCAAAACTAATCCAGGAAGAATTGAAACTCAAAGTATTAATGTGTTCCAGAATTTTTTCTCCACCAGACGATATGCCTGAACTTAGCCCTTTGGGCAGCAAGGCTGCCAAAAATAATCCAAAAGAAGCATGGTCACTTTCATGAGTGATGTTTGTAGTCTTCACCATATTTCTAATAGGAAAAGAGCCCAAATCAGAGAAAACTGTAACTAATATTACCTTTGTTCCTGTGTAGACACATTTAAGCGTGAACATTTAGGAAACAAGTTGCTTCTCAATTAGATATTTAAGACAGATTGGAAAGTTGGTTATAAAAACACATTTGGTTTAGAAGACACTTCTTTCTAGCAGAAGTACTGCTGTAAAAGGCAACAAATGGATGCTCAGGTAACAGTCCTGTGAGCCTACTTAATTTGTACATATGCAGTTTGCTTAATCTCTGCTTTCTCTTACAACAGGTAGGATTTTTTAATTATGGAAAAATATCCAAACTTTCCAAAATAAAGATTCATGATCTCGAGCTGTAAGGCAACATGCTTTTTGAATAAGAACTAAATGTACAGGTCTTTTGTAGGGCTTCACAGTATTTGCAACTTGACAGCGAGACTTTTAGAAGTAAATCAAATGTCAAGTTTGCTCACGTCAAAATCTAGTAAGTATTAAATTAAGTACATTTAAAGTAAGCATTAAGTAATTAAGTTTGAAAACTTTGGAGACTTCTGTATAGAAATACTGTAGTTCCTTCAAAATAAAATGCAATCAATTTCTAATTCTTTTATCTGAGTTCATGTTACCCATTTCTTCAAAATTGTGAGGGGCACAAAAATTAAGAGAAAACAAAGGCAAAGAAAGATGTATGTCACAAACAAACCAGTGGAATTTCTCATTCTTTGTGAATGTGCTTTAAGTACTTTGGATAATTTATTTACCTTTCATCATAAAACTTGGAAAGTGTTCTTACAAGCTCAACATTTTATTTTATTTTTATTTCAAAAGTATGCACACAAAAAATTGTTTTGGAAATAATTCTCGGATAAATCATAATTCTCATCAGTTCATCCCCGAGAGAAAGCTCAACGCAGGAAGTTACCCACAGCTACAGAGCTTTCAGAGTCCAGCTGGTGGTGCTGTTGCCCATTAGGTTTCTGAAGTACAGCGCTTGAAAGAGCAAGGTGGCCGTTCAGAACTACACAGTAAAGACCCCACACTAAATTAATTACACCACGAGGATTTGCTAAATGTCAAAATTTGAACTTCAAAATAACCTGTAATTGCCAAAACACTATTAGTGACACTGAGTTAAGTGTTACTAATACGAAGGGGAAAACAAAGTGACACAGACCTGGCACTGCTACAGGTTTCACATTTCAACGACCCAGAAATTTGTTAAAATCCGCTCTGCGCTCTAACTGCAAGAGCCAAGACATCTTACAGACATTGCTACTTTGACTGCACTGTCTCTACAAGTAGATGAAGGCCACTTATAAAAAGGTAGTTGTCTCTCCATTCCCTCCCTTGCAGGATCTTCCACCACCATCCCAACAGATGTTTTCCCCCTATCTGCTACTGACAGCGTCTCCGTGCTCTGCTCTGGGATGTGCCCTGCCAAGGGTACTGCTAGTGCCTGCTGTGGATGGAGTGGGACAGGAAATCCTGAATCTGCAACCTGAAGCTTAAGATCCACCAGGTGAAAAAATGACAAGGGACTATGCAGGGTTTCTGTACCATTAATAGGGCTTTCAGTTGCCCTTGAATCCACAGAATTATTTATGAATACCGTCTGTTTTAGCTGACAGTACAATTTAAAAATTATAAGCATGGAGAAGACCCACACATTAGAGTTCAAATGCACTAACACACTCAGCAGGACAGAACAAAAGATTGTGCTCTACAAGTTGTATTTTGGCACAGACACCTTAAAATTATGTAATTCTAAAAAAACCATCAACAACCAAACAGAACTAAATAAACCAAGATAAAGCAATTCAGTACCTTCCTAAATACAGGTGAAGAGGCACATTTTGGATGTATATGAGAACATTTAACTTTGTTATCCTGCACAAGCAATGCTAAGCATCCTCAAGTTTTTTGGAAAGCAGCACTCACCTCTGCTTGTAGTTTTTTCTCCTCTGACTGTGAGGCACATGGTGTGAGCTTCCCACTCCAGTACTGCTTTACACGATCAATGAGTACATTTTTCTCAGCAGAAGGAGGCACTGGAACTCCACGTGCTGCCAAATACTTAAAAATTATTTCTCGATAGACTTTTCGGCGTTTCAAAAGTTCATCTACATTTTGGCTGTAAACCAAAATGGCATGAATGGCTTCTGCAAGTAAAGAAATTGAAGTTAGCAGTTGCTTTTCTCATGATTGAAACCCAAATCTATGCCACTTCTTAAACTCCCAACCAGCACCTCCAAATACAGTACTTGACAAGCAAAACAAAATGCAAAGTCTTAAACATTTGTTTTCAAAGTGAAATCTGACCTGATCCTATTAGACACAGAAGACAGACAAACTTGGGAACATGTTTTCAAAACAGTTGTTTCTACTGAAGATCTTGCTACCTTTTAATCTCTACTTCCACTATCAATGACTGCTTGGAACTTAGTATTTGTTATTTGAGTTTGATGAAAAGGATGCAGCTTTTTCTTCCAGACAAAATTACTAATATTCTTCAAATATCTTCAATTTATTCAGAAACTCCAAGTGCTAAGTATAAAGAACCTTGCACACCATGCATTTCACCTATACTTCCTGAGATGCAGTTAGCCTTAACATGAAATCACTTCAGGCTTCCTGCTTCATGTCACCATACAGCACCTTCCCTTAGCAAAAAACTGAGCTTGGTTTCATTATTCATTTGAAAAGATCTGGGATATTTCAAAATAAGCCATTCACCTGTCTTCTTGGAAGCAGTATTACAAAGAAAGAACCAGACAAACCTTTTATGGTTCTTCTGAATACGGAATGTGAATCTTAATTTCCATATCAAATGGGGAGTTCACATGACATGATCAGGGAACACATGGTTATTTTGAAAAATATGCAAGTTTTCAAATGTTTCCTGTGAATAGATATTGACAAAACTAACGGCAGAGAGATAACTAAGGTGACTCCTGACTACTTTTATGCTGAACAATTTTAGCACCAGAAGTCTGAAGTTTTTCAGACAATATATGGTAAGCTTGTGAAAGTGAAGTTCCACCTAGGTTCCTGAAGACTGATGGAAATTGAATTAAATCTGTTTTATTACCATGCCAATAAAACTAAATTACTACCTCCGGGTTCATAAGAAAACATCATGCACAATGACAGTGCTTTGAAATGTAACACTGAAAAAAAATCAACTACAAGATTGCAGCAAAATTAGGAAACACAACAAACTGAAATTCACTTTTAAAGTAGCTGTGGTAGCCAGTTCTCACCTGAACTGAGGCTGGGTACTCAACATGTGACTTATAAAAACTGTGAATTTAAACTGGAAGATACTAAGCACTGAAGCAAAAAACCAACCAAACAAAACAAAACAAACCCCAAACCATATTTTAACTGACAACCACTGCAAAAGCAGATAAAGGGCAAGAAGAACTACAGGCCTAAGAAGTTTTTAAAAAATGTGGCATGTCTTACAGGCTCGAGTTACATCACATGAAACATATTCAAGGTTTTTGGATGATTGTATTTCAGGGCAATATGCCGAGTGTCCTCAAGTAAATCACATTTATAAGAACTTCTTCACTATAAGGGTGGTGAGGAACTGGAATGGGTTGCCCAGGGAGGTTGTTGATGCCCCATCCCTGGAGGTTTTTAAGGCCAGGCTGGATGAGGTTTTGTGCAACCTGATCTAGTGGTAGGGTTCCCTGCTCATGGCAGGGGGAATTTGATGATCTTTAAGGTTCCTTCCGACCTTAATGATTCTATGACATTAAGTGTGACGAAACAAATCTCAACATCTACAAAGTGATGGGGGATGGTCAAACCTGAACGTTCCCTCTTCTACAGTTAAGTTCAATATTAGACCTGTGTTTCACCCTTACAAAACCTGAAACCAAACGTCGTTAACTCAAACAGCACCACAGCTGAGCTTTAACTACGTTTCTCAACACGCGCAGGGCCCAGCAGCGGCCCAGCGAGGCACGGGGCTCAGGGCGGAGGGCAGGCTGCGAGAGACAGGCGCTCTGAGACCTGAAAACCTGCCACAAGCCGCGAGTTCCTGGGCCACAACAACCCCCCGGCTCACGC